TGTTTCAGACATATTTTGATGCTCAAGTTCTTTAGCTTTCTATCATTAACTCGTTTCCTGTGCTTTCTATGGCAGTAATCCCAACGGTTATCTTTTTCCAGCCCAAAGCGCAAGCTTTTTGAGGCAACCCCTTAAGTGGTGAGAAAAATGCTATTTTTCACAGTTTTTCCGTTTTCTCGCCCATGCCATTTTGCTCCTTTGTCTCATCTTTCTAAGCATCCTGATGACTCAGCCCTTGACTCCTGTCGTACCGAATCCCTTCTCTTGGCCCCACTTCGCCAGCTCCTTGGTTCACACAACCTTTTGGGCTGTCCTCCCATACGCCCATTTTGCACGAATACCTCTCCTCCTGACTCATCTACTACAACTGTCGACCGATCGAATCTCGCCAATAGTAACTAGCCTACCAGTGGAGCTGAGAGACTGTGAGATTTCGGCATGGCGACCAGTCTGCCTCCCGGCGCCAATCCGGGGCCAACGTTGCCTCCACGTCGGGCATTGGCGTCTCCACTTCTCCCTCTTGTCATGGCGACGTGCATTTTCGCGATTTGCTCCTTACGTCACATGCCACATGCACCTGCATTTGCAGATTGCCCCCCAAAAATGGGTCATTCACAGTCCAGACTATCGACACCCGAGAGCCAGGAGCCGCTTGGCAACGCTGTTTTCCCCGGTTGCTGCCGTCCACATGACGGGCATCGTCAAAGCTGGGACTGATTCTTGCTGAAGTCTCAAGTTAACGCCAGATAAAGAAGACTAACCGGCTTTTTCTACATGTGAAAAAATATATATATACGCATTACCAACAAAATTTAAGATATAGATGGATATAGAATGTTCTCAATGTGTATGTATATATATTGTGTAGAAAGAAACCGGTCGGTATTCTTGACTTTGTGTTATTGTGAGGCTTCTTGCAGAATGAACCCCAGTTTTGACGATGCTCGTCATGTGGCAGCACGAACGCACGAAACGTGAAGCATGTCTCGCGGACTACATCAACCTGAACGTCATGTTGACGCTAAACGGCTGCAGTACAAAACCAATCACTTTACTTCTTCTGGTGCGATTGTCTTATGCATCTTTTCAGCATGTACTTCTATACGAAATGGAAGTCTTCGAACCAAGATGGTGACGCTTCTTGCAGAATGAACCACAGTTTTGACGATGTTCGTCATGTGGCAGCACGAACGCAATCTCGGCCCGTCTTCGCACGAAACGTGAAGCATGTTGATGCTAAACGACTGCAGTGCAAAGCCAAACACTTTGCTTCTTCTACACGAAATGGAAGTCGTGGAAACAATCCTACGAATTCCACGTGATGGTCATGATTTCGTAAAACCAGTATGCTCAACCTGTCTGGCCTGATGACCGATCCATTCACCAGCACACCATCAACTCTTCTCCATTTCAGACTTCCCTCCTCGCTTATCCTCTTGTCTTCTCCTTTCAGTCATCTGGACGTCATTGAAAACATGTACCAATGGAGTGCCCCTGGCCTTTTGTAGAGAAAAACATGATTCACACATGATAAGTAGTAGTTGATTTTTCCATCCATCACACGAGTAGAGCTGAAGCTTTCATTGCAGTGCACACAGCAACGCTTTCCCAAAAGGTGTTCTCATTCCGTCAGAAGTGAACTACAGTTTCGATGAAACACATTTGGCTTTTTTACTGCAATCGACTGCAATACTTTTTTTTTTAAGTCTATAAGTAGATATTTTAAACCACCAGCAAACGATATTCTCTTTTAGAATGGACTGCATTTTTAACATCAACCAGGTCTACCGAGCCTACTTACCAAAGGGCAATAAGTAGCATAGTCGATTGCTATAGCAAGCACAACTTTGCTTGATCGACGATCCCACCACAGAATGTGACTCATAGCAATGCAGCTCAGTGATTAACGTATCGAGATTATATATTGCTGATGAGACAAATACAATGGGAAATTGAATGGAAACATAAGGACTACTCGTAGCATTGTGTGAAATTGAAACTACCAGTCCCTTTATCGTCTTGAACGAAATAGAGTGAATACATTTCGTTTATATGATCTACCGGTAGTCTCGAAAATCCCACTTATTAACGAAATAACAGGCGAGCGAAGAACCGTTTTTCTTTGACTGATTGTGAATTATACATTACAACAATCTTGCCAACTTATTCACACACACTTTCAACCACTTTCTCTTCTTGGCGAGCTTACGTCCATTTACAAACTCGATCCCACCAGAAGACGATGGTAGATGCCTTACTTGTCAGTTGTCGATTGATCTTTCTGGAACATTCTTGTTGAAGCGGTTTCCGGGGCAATCTCAAAATCAAAGGAGACACCAACAACGTCAAAAGAACGTTCCAGTAAAGCCGATCCACAGCTGAGTAAGATGAACCCATTGTTGTCTTCTGGTGGAATTGACCTTCGAATCCCGCCAGCAAACACTTTCACTCGAAATGGAAGTAAGCTCAACAATTATGAAACATGAGATTCCTCGAGACCCAACTTTTCCTCACACATACTTTCACTTTTATCCTGTCACCCTTCGCTCATTTCTTTGATCTCCAATGCTTCATCTCTATCTTCATTCCGTACCACATGCCCGATCTCTGTCATTCTACCTACAGCCTTTTTTGCATTGCTCTCATTCGATACACATTCATCAGAACACCATTTTGACCACTCTATGACCTCATATTCTTTCTCTAAATCCTATCACATCCAGTTCACCCCCGTCATTTTTTCCCTAGCATTACGTTAGACATGGGTAGGTCCAACTTCCTCTTTTGCGTACAGGCAATAACCCAGTTCCGACACATTACATGAGACCCTAAGTCTTAAGGCATCACTAAAACCTATTCAACCTCACATTTTTCTAAAGTCGTCTGACCCCATTTTCGCAACTTCTTCGTGTTGTCATGACGACTTAATTGGACGCACAGTGTTATAAGTCTCATAATTCCTAGCATCGAACCGTGGATTTGGTACATTTCCAGACGTTTCGTCAACATCTTAAGTGAGTCTTGCTAGCCTCAACACCACAACATCTTGGTATGAATGTCACTTTTTTCTTCCGTTTGTACTTTTAGGCATTGGTTTAATTCGCAAAACTTTCTGGATATAAATAATTGTTGGCAGGGCAGCCTAAAAGGATGCCAAGAAAATTGTCTCCGGGGCGTTCAGCTTGAGCCAAAATCGGGCTGTTGTCGGGACAACTTGAGACCGATGATTTGGTCAACTTATATGCCATCAAGAGGCAGTTGGTTTCAACCAATTCTAGCATTATTTACTATTGTCCATTTGTCGGTACAACATTCTGCTTTTACTCTCTTTCAGGTGGTCGTTTGAGCACAAATCCATCAACAATCCTCTTCCTCAATGGGTCGGGGTCGCCCACGGCCTCTCGCTAGAGTACTTTTTTGGACGACCCTATGACTCTGAGTTTGCAAAGCATTTCTGGTCGCACACAGACGAGGAAAGAAACTTGTCCACTTTGGCAATGAATGAACTGGGAAGTTTTGTGCGGACTGGGTAAGCTTGTTATTTATGTATTTTCTGACTAGTCAACATGAAAAGAAATTTCAGCTTAAACTACTAGTGAGTAGTATTGGAATGATTTATATGGTAAACCGAGAAAATTTATACCTACCAGGCTCTGCTCAGGATAAATTTCATCTACTGGCAATCTTGACTATCTTGAATATTATATTGGTTAAACTTTGTTTTCGCAACTTAGTCGGAACGTCAAGGAGATATTGTGGAACGTTTCTAGTTTATAGTATTCGTGATTTCCGACCAAGTTGCAAAAACGAGGTCAAACCAACTATATAAAGCTGAAGGATACTACAACCAGACAGCAGGCAACGTCATATTGGTCTTCATATTTACAATCTTGAATATCGGTATTACCTTGAAGTTGTTGCTAATGTTGAGAGCCCAACCGAAGAGTATAAGTAGGCTGTTAAGTTTTTGACGAAACAAAGCTTGCTGACATTGCAGCTGGACGGACTTAAGGATCGAAACAATTTTGCAGAGCTTAACGCTTGTAAAGCATTTGTCTGCTTTAAGCACAAAAATGCATTAGTTTGTGTGAAAATATGCATGCGGTGGAGGGTTAATGAAGGCAAAATGCGAGAATTACAAGCCCTCCAAGGCTGATGATTGTGACTTTTTTTCAATTTCAGTAGCCATTACAACCAGACATTTTTTATGATATGAAGAAAAATTGGGTTTCGAAGGATCACTTTGCTATATATTGCGACGTGACTTTTAATTTAGAATGAAAAGTTTATTAACAGAAATTCGTGATGTGACCTATCCGGAAACCGAACGATGATTGCCGCGTAGGGAAGACTGCTGTCTGTACCTAAATGTCAGACATTATCATAGCAATAGTGTATACTTTACAATATAGAGCAAAAAGATACTAAACCAAAAGAAAAGTTTGCCAGCAGCAACCCTAATAACCTTATCATTTTAAATTAAAATTGATATCGCAATATATTACAAATTCAATGTTCAAAACCAAGTTTTTCTTCATATGCCATCCCTTGGTTGGCTAATTCTGATCTATTCTTCATGCTTGCAGATGAGTGAAGATGCTTCATAAACGGCGACTGTTTTTTTGCAGCATCTAATGTTAACTTGTGTTTGATTTTGTGTTGTTTGCCTATTGTGTGTGTGTATGTGTGTGTGTGTGTGTGTATAATTTGCATGCCATCAGAAATGTGTTAAGTGTCGAGCCTGCTTTCATTTCGAGTGAAAGTGTCTGGAGGCGAGATTCAAAGGTCGATTCCACCAGAAGACGACGGTGGATTCCGCTTAAACACCCGTCAGTTGGCTATACTTGAACATTCCAGCTGACGCTCCTTCGATTCCGGTGAAAAGGTGCTAAACTTTCGTCCTTCATATGACCAACATCATCAGAGCAAGGTATCATCGTCACAATAAAATTGAAGATAGCGAGTCAAGAAAACTCACCGGCTCGAATCTCGAAGTAGGCTCAACAATTATGAAACAAGAACTTCATCGAAACCCAACTTTTCTTCGTCCACAAACGACTCAATGATTAGAGTTGTCAATTTTGTATTTAATGGTAAGTAGTACGAGAAAGCATGTGGTTTAGCTGTGGAATCTTTTTTAGCACTCATGCTCACAATAATGCCAATTATATGTGACAGTTTTGTTATATTGAGTGAATTTATTCAGCTTATCAATGCTTTGAATAGATGGCATTTCTAAATTTGCTATGGAGTAAGAAAGTGAGAGTAAATTGTCTTTTCTGCATGTAGAGAATAAGTTGACAAGATTTGTGTATAGGAAATTCACACACGCCAATATCCATATTCAATGACACATAAATGGTTGCATTGGGAGTTGTGAAATCAATGTCACTAAGACGTCTGCATTTAGCAACTTGGTCGTGTTGTCATGGCGGCCTAGTTGGACGCAACTTGTCCGAATCTCTCTGCCATAGTAGTCAGCCTAATTGCCAGCGTCTATTGTCGGGCATTTCGCCGGCAGTATCGCTACTTCCAGCGACAATTGGTCAAAGAGACAAATGAAGTCAATCTATTGACCAACTTTCTCCCGAGACGGTTGTGCTATCCCTCGGTTTTCTGTACTTATCTCGTCCAACCCATTGATGATGCCGACTAAGACGCATGCGAAAAGTCGGGGAATGTACTAAACCCACGGTCCGAAACTGGGAATTATGAAGACCACTCTTG